AATCACAGTTTTATGTTTTCGAGTGTTCGTTACGCCCCCTAGCGGTCAACTTATAAACTTGAAAACTATTTCCAGCAATTTTTCATGAACTATTTTATGAAAAAAAAAAATTATTTGGAAGCTCTAGGACTAATAGTTCTTGAGATATAGCCGGTGACCTTTCTTAATCGGACACCCGGTACAATAGGGAACTTGACAAAAAATTTAAACATGAAAATATTGCTATAAATCATAAGAATACATTAATTAAAACCTATATCAGCGAGAAAAAAATTCAAATTATTTCCAGCGGGAAAAAACGCTCTGGTACTGGTCGTGACGTCATCTAGTATGATCTGTCAGTGTCTGTCAGAAACCGTCCATCATACCGTGAGTTCGTCTTGAAACACTGAGCGCTCGGAGCATTTTCCGTCTTTATTTCTTATGATGAGAAGAACAGGGATAAAAGAACAAAACAGCAACTCCGAGCGTTTACTCGAACTCTACCTAATAAATACACGTTAGCTGTATTTATTTACGTTTTTCTCTGATTTTTTAAAATTTTATCATTATTAGAATTGGTTTACTTACCTTAAATTCAATGATTAGCTTAGCATTATATAAATAAAACGATATACCTATTAATTATGACCGAAGAAGGAAATTCCAAAGGCCAATTCGCCAATCTGTAATTTGTGATATGTTTATAGTAGCAAAAGTAAGTATGTGCGAATCTTTTTTTCCATTATAACTTAAAAATTTACAACTCGCCGCAATCCAAAACAACAACAAAACAAATAACGGTGGCAAATGTAGAAATCAACCAAATTAAATAATGTATGACGTTTGACGACAAGGTGAAGCAGGCGCCACACGATGTGTCGAATGCCTTCCAACGTTGGATACAGCGATTTGTGGCATCGTGTAGCCGTGCGCTCATCGGATACACTTGCCGAATGCTAGAGCAAAAAACACTGTACCCAGCGATGGATCTAATGGTTGGACACATCGTGTGGCGCCGGCTTAACGCAAAATCATACTACGTGACGTCATACAGATTCGCGCGCATTTAAGATCGTTTGAAATGGTTTTGATTCGCGCGAAACTTTAAACATTTTTCACCAAGTTATTATTGAGTTTTAGGGAATAATATTTGGGGAATACTCTTTCAAGGCATAAATAAATGATTAAAAAAAAAAAAAAAAAATTGTAAAGTTCCCTATTGGAGAAAAAGCTCTTCTTAAGAGACGAGAGACTAAACTTCACCTACAAACAATTTATGCAAGATTAACTAGATCTGGGACACATGAAAATCTGCGATGAAAAAGTTACAGAATTTTCAAAATACTACATTCCTCATCACCATGTTTTGAAAGTACGTACAACGACCAAGTTACGAGTAGTCTTCGATGCATCCATCAAAACTTCTTCTGGGTCCAGCCTGAACGAAACAATGTACACTGGCCCCAAATTACAGCAAGATCTTTCGGATATTCTTTTACGTTGGAGATCACACATAGTTATCACAGCTGACATTGAAAAAATGTATAGATAAATCAAAATCCATCCTGACGATCAGAAATTTCAAAGAATTCTGTGGTGGTTCGATAAAAAATATCCAATACAAGAATACTGTCTCACAACAGAACATATGATACAACCGCAGCTCCATATTTGGCGATCAAAACACTGCAGCAACTAGCCAGTGATGAGGCCACAAATTTTCCAAAGTCAGCCATGGCAGCCCTACACGATTTCTATGTAGACGACCTTCTATCCGGTGCAGATACTATTGAAGAAGAATTGGAGCTCCAAGCTGAACTAATCAAAATGTTTCGCTCTGGCGGGTTCACTTTACGAAAATGGACCAGTTACATAAATCAACTCCTACAAGCTCTGCCAGAGGAACTGAAAGATATAACTTCCGTAGAAATCACAGAAGATGAAACAAGAAAATCTCTTGGAATCCACTGGGCACCACATGACGTTATTTTCTATATTATAAATAAAATAATTTTATTGGGGGGGGGGGGGGGGGGCATGTCAGAAATTACAATATAGAATTATTCTATTATTGTTTATTTATGTTATATTTGTGATAACATTTGACAACAATTTGATAAAAGACAGTTGGACAAATTGGTGGTCACTAGAAAAGAAAAGTATAGTGTTCATTTGTACTTGTCCTATCTGCTCTAAAAATAAGGAAGATCTGCTAGGAGCTGCTATTTATGAGCTTAAATACAGGACAAGTGAACATCGATCTGCTGCTGAGATCTGCTTGAAGCAAGAAAAGCAGTATAAATGAACACCCTAGTAGTGTGCTTTTCTGTTTTTGAAGTTGTTCAATTGTTATGTGGTCATGGTCGGTTTTTTTGACTAAATAAGAAAACAGTTCTTGTTCGTTGTCATAATTAAACAAGCTTTCATAATTATAAAATGTCTCAAAGCTAAAATAAAAACACAACAAAAAAATAATACAAATTATAGAAAAAATACAAAAAATTTAAATTGGTATTGAAGTAGTTATCTACTTACTAACACAAAAGCTTAAATTAACAAAAAACAAACAACCATACGAAGTAACAACGGAATAATAAACAAATTAAAAACAAATTTGCAGTTTTGCAGAATCTAACAAACAAAAACAGATTAAAATATCTCGTGATGAAATTTGGACGAATTTTACCACGAGACCTAAGCTTCCATTGTCCTCTGGATAATGAATAAAAATGAAATTTTGAAAATATTTTTGTCTAGAGAGCGTTAAAACCCGTTCAAAAAAGCCACACCCCTAGCTGTACCCACAATTAGAATCAAATTATAAGTTTCTAAAGTTTCGAAAAAATCTGCAGAATGGCAGTTTAAGCACTTGGGGATTCACGTAGATCGAAATTACACCAAAACCATAATTCCAAACACGAAAAGATAAAGAACAAATTAGTTTGCAAATTCCTTTTTCTATAATAACAGGATGTTGATGATCTGCATTATTATTTAGGATGTTAAAAATGCTATCGCTCAACTTTCTAAGTTATTATATTTTTGCAAGACTTTATGTGCAAAATTTGTAGGTATTCAAACATTTAAATTACCTTCTATGATTATGCCAATTAATGAAATTTGTTTGAAAAATTTTAGGACAATAATTTAACAATTTTTTTCTTTTTAGCACATTTGATTTAATTGGCATAATATATCTTAATTTATTGAACATGTGAATATGTGAGTCGATAATTTTCGGGGTCAAAATTTCAAATAAATAAAAAAAAAGCACACATGCACAGTTAGTTGATAATTATTAATATACCAAGCAAAATGAAGGTAAAAATTATTGGTTTTTTTGTTGGTTATCGGAATTTTAAACCTTGGAAAATATGTGTATTAATGCAAATTTGTAAAACTTTACACTGACATTTGCATTTGAAACGTTATCTTCATACTCACAATAAGGAAAACTTACTGGTTTGAATTCAGCTAATGGAAATATGCATTTGTTATAATATTTTACTTATCGAATACGTAATAGGTGATAGGTATTAGATATTGAATTAAAAAATATGCAAAGCACATGCATTTTAAGTTTTTTTCTAAATTAATATTCTCTGATAATATGGTAGCTAAGTGGTTTTATCACTGGACGAGTAGGACTGTAGGAAAAATATTTTAGAAATCAGAAAAAGTCACAAAAGATGAAAAAAGGAAAATGCGAAGCTTATCTAGTACCAGACGACATAATGAACATCTAAAATGATGAATGATTGTGAAAACCTATTGCAAAGAAATTGATAATTCAATATTGATATTTAGCATAGTACTTATAACAATTTCCAGAAATTGTTGATCAAGCAACCTAAGGAACAAAAGGCAGTATAACCTTAGAGTGAATTTAGCTCTGAATTCACCTGTATCAATAAAGGTGCCCTTAAGTCCTTATAATAGACACAAAATAGAAAATAAAGTGGAATTTCAGCTCATTTGGAGTTAAAGCTCCAAAGATAAAATCCCGCTAAGGAATAGGGAGGAAATTTTATTTATTTTTTTTCAATTTTTTCGCTATTCTTCCTTCAAACAAACAGGCTTTTAATCTCATAATGAAATTCTAACATTTTTGTTCCTACTAAAAAATTTTAAAAATCATCTCCAATAATTGTATAGGCATTTGAAATATTCTGGGAATCTTATTCTAGTGAAGAACACCAACCCTGAAAATTTCAGCTCATTTGGAGTTTCTAATTCTAGAGATAAAATCCCGCTAAGAAATAAGGAGGAAATATAATAATTTTTCAATTTTTCCGCTGCTATTGTTCCAAATATTAATGGTCTGCTCGTGTGCCATGGGCCAAATTTTAAAATTGCACAGTACATAAATATTGGAATTTTAATTTAGATGCATTGTTTCTTTTATTGGTTTCGACATTTTATGGTTTTACGTGTTATATTAATTCCTTTATGGATTTTAGTTGGTTTATTGCTTATTTTTGAAAACGATTATTAAAATTATACAATAATAGCTGAAAAGTTCTTCTAAAAATTGGTCAAAATCCGGGTTTTAATTTATTTATAAGATAATATTGAATGCAAATAATGGATTACCATAATTTCACGATAAAGATGAACAAATTTGAATAATTTTCTTCAAATTAAAATTTGAATTATATAAGAAAATTGATGTCGGTTTTAGAAGCACAGGCAAATTTTTGAAAATAGAACTTTGTGAAATTTCAAAGTTAAAGAAGAAATTGTTAAAAATATATTGAAAAAAAAAAATCTAACGTTTCAAGGGTTAGGTAGTTGAAAATCATTGCCAAAGCAACTTTCTAAAATTAAGGAACTTAATCGTTAATATTATTACCTACATACCATTACCTACTATGAATGTGAAATATTTTTTCTTTTGGAAAAGCTTTACTCATATGCAATTTTGCCATATATTTTTTCAAAAAATTACAAAAGAAAAAATGGAAATAAGTAGGAATTAAAAAAACCATTAAAATATTAAAATTATGAATTAAACTTACTCGGATATCATCCTCTGGTTATCTTTCCTGAAGACCATCTTAACAATAAGTGTGTATTATCACAAAAAAAAACAAAATGTTTCTCAAAAAGTCACTTCGACAATAAAAATTACTTAAAAATTTTTCCCGACATTATTTATCAGCCAATAAAATAACGGTTCAATATCGATAATGCTGTATTATTTATGGTTGGACGAGTTATTTATTATTGTTTATTTATTTTTTTTTGTTTAAAAGGTATACGATTATTGCAAACACCGGTGTTTCTGCCCAGGCAACGACTGAACTGAATCGCCATTTCAAATTGAGCAGGATTTTTGTTACCTTTAATCACGCGACCTTCGAGCTTTTCGTCGCTTCCCTTGTTTTAAATAAATCCGCTTTAAATGTTTGTTGTATTGAGAAGCGCGAAAAGTTTCTTTCGCGGTGCGAAGTGCGAAGAAGAACTTCAATGGTACGCGATAGAGGCGTCTCATGACGTAAAAAGCGCGTTTCATAACTGGAAAAGTTTAGTCCCAGAGACGGCTGCAGAGAATCTGTCGTCATAAGGTGGACGAACGAAAATAATATGAATATTAGTTGAGGCACTAATTAAGAGAATACGCGAAGGTTGCCTGCGAAAATCCTACCGAAACAGTGTTTTTCAATTTTTTTTATTAGATAAATAATTACAGTAACTATCTTTTATAGGTGGACATGAAATGAAATCACTATGTTGTAGGAGAGCGTGAGGCGAATTCAACCATATAAGGCTGCCTGCCCCCACCCTGCCGCAACACCTTTGCAGCCTGGCTAAAAAGGTCGGTTTTTTATCAATAACTATCGTCATCAGGTGGACGCATAAATTAGGTCTCAAATTAAAGGTCTTGATCTCCTCTTTCCAGCAAACTAAGGCTGCCTGCTCAAATCCTGCCGAAAGATGTGGTTGCCTCGTTTTTAAAGTTTCCGGTACGTGCGCCGCGCGCTAGGTATTTGCGGAGCGCGAGGTGTTTAGTGGCGAAAAAGTCATCTACAAAACACCGAAACGAGTTTTTATTTTTGCTCCTTGTCACTTTGTGTTACTTCTCATATTTAAATTATTGATAGGGATCTATAAAACAACACGTCAGGATCTAACACAACGCGCCGTGCGCGTGCTTTTTGCGAAGCCAGGCCTAGGAATTCCACCCTCTGGCCGCTACGGCTACCACCGCAAGTGCAGTATCTAGACGTAGAAGCGTCGAGTGCGGTAAGTACCACATTAGTAATATTATTACCGCACTCTCTACCTACATAGGTACGTACCTTTACCTACCTACCTAACCTACCAGAGATAAATTACCTACCTATCACCTAAATTCTACTTGTCCGCTGTCAAAGGTGACAGACGCAATTTTTTTTTTGTATAATTTTTTAAATTTCTTTCGGATATTTTCTTACCGCACGCTTGTAGATAAAATACTGTAGATAAAATACTGTATATAATACGTATGGTAATTAGGTTATTACCGCCCTTAGAGATTGCAAAGCTCGCCTCACCGGCTCGGTTTGCAAATTTCTCTCGCGTGCGGTAATAACCTAGTTACCACACTTATTATATAATATACTATTGTGTAACAAGAGCGGTATCAGTTAAGTAAAAACTGGTCATATAAATATTGTGCAGTATACACTATCGATTTAAAACAAATTTGGAAAATTTTAGTTCACTTGCGAGTTTCCTATTTTCAGTGGTTAAATTCCCAGAGAAGAGAAAACCGGTCAGCAAAAATCTGTCATTAGCTGACCGTCTATTATTCATCGATAGACTATCAAAATTTATGTTTTGAAATTTAGTTAGGAAATGTCATCTTTTTGACATTGACTTTAGTTGTCAAAAGTTGTTCATTTTAACACACACGCCAAAATAAGCAGGTGTTCTAGCCCTAACGATAAGTATTCCCTAAACTGACATTTTTCCATATAAAAATGAAATGTCATTTTAGGGAATACTTTTCGTTAAGGCTCCCCTAAAACAGTTGGTGGAAACGGCCATAAGTATTTTAAATTTTAAATATTTTGAATGAATCACAAAAAATACTGTATGAAACACGTCGCAAGGCTGGTTTTTTGCACGTAATGTGTTGGACCAATCTTCACTTGAAGCTTTTGGCAGTTGTGAAAATTATGGCTTTTTAAAAATTAGGTTTAACTATTTTTAAATTTTGAAATGTAGGAATATATGCAACTTGAACGTACTTTAATAAACGTTTCTTGTCAAAAAAGTTCACGCTTTTTTTTTAAGCAACCAATCAACATCTACCCCTCAACCCCCCCACCCCATCATGGACCTGAATTCCTCTTGATATCAAACTATGCTTTTCATGACGTTTTGTTTTATAGATCCTTATCGATAATTTAAATATTAGAAGTAACGCAAAGTGACAAGGAGCAAAAAGAAAAACTCGTTTCGGTGTTTTGTAGACGACTTTTTCGCCACTAAACACCTCGCGCTCCGCAAATACCTAGCGCGCGGCGCACGTACCGGAAACTTTAAAAACGAGGCAACCACATCTTTCGGCAGGATTTTAGCAGGCAGCCTTAGTTTGCTGGAAAGAGGAGATCAAGACCTTTAATTTGAGACCTAATTTATGCGTCCACCTGATGACGATAGTTATTGATAAAAAACCGACCTTTTTAGCCAGGCTGCAAGGGTGTTGCGGCAGGGTGGGGGCAGGCAGCCTTATATGGTTGAATTCGCCTCAATCTCCTCTACAACATGGTGATTTCATTTCATGTCCACCTCTAAAAGATAGTTACTGTAATTATTCATCTAATGAAAAAATTTGAAAAACACTGTTTCGGCAGAATTTTCGCAGGCAACCTTCGCCTATTCTCTTAATTAGTGCCTCAACTAATATTCATATTTTTTTCGCTCGTCCACCTTATGACGTCAGATTCTCTGCAGCCGTCTCTCGTACTATTTAGGCAGTGTTCCACAAGACAAGAATAAGAATGAGCGTTACAGTAGTTGCTGACACTAGCTTTTTAAGATGAAAATTTGAACAAAAAAAAAACACATTTGAAGTGAAATCAGGCCGTTTTTTTTATTTGTTTATAGGCACTTCATATTCATCCTTATGAAGCGTCGCTTGTTCTTAAGCCTTCTATCATTCTTTGGACAGAGGCCTTTCCCAATTCTCCCCAGTGAAACCTATTTTGAACACTGGTCTCCATGTGTGATCATGTGGGTAATGGTTAATTTGAATACGTCGATCTATTATATGTTATTAATGGTGATCTGGCTTTTGATTTGTGCCCAGCATATGGCTGCATATGTAGAAGTTAGAAGTGCCATCGCTCAATTTTTAATAACTGATGTCTGATAATACGTTTTCGACCTGGTTATTGCTCTTATTCAAGTATTTTTCACTGTCGAAGAGTTTCATGTTCAGCATTATCTGCTCCACGGCCCTTCAAGAATTAGATTTTTCTATAAATGTTGAAGCCTCAACATTTTTTAATATGGGTTATACAGTACACATTGATTGAAAAAAAAAGAATATTTTCAATGACTGATCCACAAATTCTGGATAATGTGTCAGCTTCAATATTGCTTTTTCCTGGCCTAGCCCTAACATCAAAATTGGAACAAGATAATTCTGAAAGCAATCCTACAATTTTTTGGTGCTGTTGTAGTTTGGATTAACTAAATAACAATATTTATTTTTGAAAGGATTTTTTATTAAGTTTAACAGTAAATTACAATGACAAAAATAAAAAGTCGATTGCTAGTCCACGTATTTTCAGGTATAATGCTGGGTATAGGCCAGGGCAGATAATTTTTTTCGTAACATAAAATTTAACAGCAAACTATAGATGCAGTATTGCTAAGGATCATTTATAGATGCTAAAAACCAAAAATGCAACATCTAATTACTTTTAGGGGATTTTATAAACAATATTTAGTGCAAAAATAGGGCTTTTTTTTGTTTATTTCACTGTATTTCGAAAACTAAGGATCGGATGGTTTTGCTACTGTGGCAATAGTTTTAGAGCATTGAACAAGCTTTAAAATGAGCCATCATACAACCCTGTAGGTCTTTTCGTTTTCGAGAAATGATTTTTTCCCTCCAAAAAAGGGATTTTAATTGTCTAGCATGAAAATTAAAAAAGTTAGGATTTTTTTACGAAAATCTCTTTTTTGGGGGGAAAAAATCATTTCTCGAAGACTAAAAGACCTACAGGGTTGTATGATGGCTCATCTTAAAGCTTGTTCAATGCTCTAGAACTATTGCCATAGTAGCAAAACCATCCGATCCTTAGTTTTTGAAATACAGTGAAATAAACAAAAAAAAGCCCTATTTTTGCACTAAATATTGTTTATAAAATCCCCTAAAAGTAATTAGTATTGCATTTTTGGTTTTTAGCATCTATAAATGATCCTTAACAATATTGCATCGATAGTTTGCTGTTAAATTTTATGTTAAAATATGGCTGTTATTTCGCTAAGTGCCTTGGCCTAGTACCTCTGATACTATACTTGTTTTATATCGTCAAGGGTTGAACTTATTTTTCTTTTGTGGACTCCACTTAGGGTTGCCAGATTTTCAAAATTGAAAAGCAGGAGATAGTCAATCGGAGGGAAAAATAATGTTTAGTCGCGAGCAAAATTTTTTTTGAGGTGCCACGCCCTAATTTTGTCACATTTTATCATATACCTACTATACAGAGTATACAAAAAGTAACGGGACGGTCCATTATTATCTCTGAACCAGTGGTGCAATTTGAACAAAATCTTATGAATTCAAAAATTGAATCGACGTTGTGGCCAGATTTACCAATAATAAACTGCTGCACAATTGCTTTCGAGCAAGGAAGTTTTTTCACCCAAATTTCAAGCTCAATATTTTTGGAACCAGACCAAATATCGCTCTCCGGTTTTCACGAGCTGACCGATTGACTTTTTGTGAAAAAAAATGCTACATGGAAACTAGAGGTCAATATTTTGGTTCCAAACATATCGAGCTTAAAAGTTAGGCGAAATTTTTCTTTTGCTTGAAATCAATTGTCCAGCAGTTTAGTTATTACAAGAGGAAAAGTTTTGTCGGCACTGGACTAGACAACTAAGACTTGGACCAAGTAAGACCTACTTACTTGGATATTAGGACCTATCCTGGATTTGGATAAATAGTTAATACGATCCAAGTATCGTCCAAGTGAGGCGTGCGCAGCATCCAAGACTCCAAGTTTACTTGCACTGTGTCAACCGAACCTGGCTTAAATAAAGTGGAGCTTGGCAGAGAATTCTTGGAGCTCAAACCCCCTTTACAATCTACAGTCAGCGTCACAATACAATACCTTCAGTTCAGGCTAGATGCCCAAGCTCTCAGGCTTGAGTAGTTCTGTCTTCGTTTGGAATTGGAGATAAAGAAAGATGCAAATAATATTATCAAAGTGCGCTCGACGTTAATCGAAGCTGCTTAGTTACGTTGGGCTACCAGATTTATAATGAAGTATTAAGGGCCGGTATTATAAAACACTGAACCGATGGTTGAGTTTCAACCTTCGGTTGACTCCATGCAAATTGATAGGATTCAACCGAAGGTTGAAACTCAACCATCGGTTCAGTGTTTTATAATACCGGCCCTAAAATAATGATAAAAATAAATAAGGGCACCTAATTCAGAATTATATTTTATGTAATTTCTATTTTTGGGAAAAGTGGGAGTTGTGTGTAAGT